CACTAGCTGCTCTGCTAGAGAAGAATAAGGTAGATAGACAACTTCTGTACAGTTGTACAACTTTACTTGAGAATGCTGAGGGCAATGAATGTACAAATGCGCTTTACACAATTGATGCATGTATGGATTGTGATAAGAGCCCCTAATAAAACGATTAAAAAAAAAAAGTTGTACAACTTTGCAAACCCTATGTTGCAGAAAGAAGGCCACTGAGTTGGAACTAAGTCTAGGGCAATGGATTTGGTTTGGGGTTAGCTTACTTGCACAGTGGGTAAGTGCTGAGCTGCTAACTGAAAGATTGATGATTTGAAACTCCCAACCATTCTCTAGGAGAAAGACATGGCCGCCTACTTCCATAAAGATTAGTCTTACACATTGGACATAAGGCCAATTACCCAAATATAAAGAACTCTACAACAGCTCAATAAGAAATTAACAAGAGACCCAATTAAGAAATGGGAAATAGATGCGAACAGACAATTCACCAAAAAGGAAATACAAACGGCTCACAAACACATGAAAAAATGCTCACGATCACTAGTCATCAGGGTGATGCAAATTAAAAGCACAATGAGATGCCACTTTACACCGACCATGCTAGCCCAATTGTAAAAAAGGAAGAAAAAAAAAAGAAAACAACAAATGCTGGAGAGGATGTGGAGGGATTGGAACTCATACATTGTTGGTGGACTTTTAGGTGCATACAGCTACTGTGAAGACAATATGGTGACACTTAAAGTTAAATCCCATATGATCCAGCAATACCATTATTAGGCATATACCCTAAAGAAATGAGACATAACACGAGTGGATGTAAACATTCCCATGTTCATAGCAGCACAGTTCACAATAGCAAAAACCTGGAAGCAGTCCATATGCCCAACAGTGGAAGACTGTGGTAAAGAAACTACGGTCTATGCACACAATGGAATACTCTGCATTCCTAAAAAAACTGATGAAAGCACGACACACCGCTTGACATGGAAGGACCTGGAAACCATTATGCTGAGTAAAGTTAGTCAAACACAAAAAGACAAGTATTGTATGAGTCAACCACTATAAGGAGAGACACCAAGTAAATAAATCTTAGGAACCCATTCCTGAACAAAAGGGGAGAAGGTACCTACCAGCCATGAACCACACATCACCTCTTTTGAGCACTTCTCAAGAGCCAACTTGGAGGAGACCTCACATTTTCTGGGGTCACTCCTTTAAGAGGGGGGAAATGGGAGAGGACAATTCACTTGAGGCTACACAACACACACACGAATGGTTAAGAGATCCTTGTCGGCAAGCTAAGACCAGGGGAAAGGAGCGTCTACATTTTTGGAGATGCTGGTAGTTCTGTTGTTGAGTTTGGTGGATGACCGGGGAGAAGTAACCTCAAATCGGGAAGGGATGCAAAACAATGATTGTGGGGAACCTAGCAGGGCAATGGACCAGATTTTATATTCCTCGGTAGACTCTATGAATGTTTCTACCCAATCCTCGGTGAACCATGGCATGATGACATACCTTGGACACTGACCGTGCAGACAGCGTGGCACAATGCAGGGGCTACATTACACCAGAAGGTCTTAGCATAGAGACCTGACTGAACGAACTGAGCCCTGCCTCAAAGTTGCCTGCACCCTTAGACCAAGGACTGGGGTACTCAGAAGAGAGGGGAAGCAGAGTGGTTGCCCCAGGAAGGCAGAAGTGGTGGCCACTAGACCTTGGGTTAAAACCACAGCTCGGTGGGTGTCCAATAGATAGGAACGCACAATCACCATATATTTATTTAGTACACTCGCAGTGACATGGCAGGTTTTGATCTGTTGGGCAGGGATATGCACTTGGAAGATTGATCCAAGAAGTTTGCCCCTGGCCCCAATCCCCATACTTAGGGTAAACAGGCTGGGCCTCAGGGTGGAACTGTACTCGCACGCAGACTCCTCATGCTGACAGTGTCCGGAGTGCTGTCACCGGGAAAATGAAGATGTCATCAGGGCAACTGCCTTATAGCACAGAGGGATGACTGACAATTAGCTCTTTTGTGAATTTGCGATTTTGTTATCCTGCCTTTTGCTGGTTTTTTTGTTTGCTGGTTAGTTCGTTGCTGTTGTTGATGTAGATGGTCTTATGGGGTTTTCATTTAGTCATAATATGACCACCCAAGTAAACCTCAGTCACGCATATCTCTTGGACAAGCAGATGGATTCTGGGCTCCTACTTAACTCTAGCCCCACTCCAAGCACAGTTAATTCTGACATGATCCTGAAATCACTGAATAAAAGGGTGCTACAGCAAAGTGTGGTGAAGAAAGCAGATGGTGCCCGGCTATCAATAGTATCTGGGGTCTTAAAGGCTTGTGTTCAAGCAAGTAGCCATTTGAGGGCGGAGCCAACGAAGTCCACACTGAAGAAGCACTCCAGCTTGTGTGAACCAAAGATGATGACAGTAAAATGCAAATATGACGAGGGAAAAATATCCGAGCTAAAATTATGAACACCCAATTTGTAGACGGCTATAGAGGGCAGTGGGAGCCAAAATCCCATCTGCAAAGTACCCAGTCAGATCAAGCCACTGGCAGATCCCCTCTAGCCACGGGCAAGGGTCTCAGACCAACCATACAATCAGAGAGAAATCACTGTAACCTTGATTATGCTGGATCAAACTTGATACTTGGTCAGACCTCCCTCTTGACCCAGCTGAATTTGTGCTAGGTGCAAGTATCTCTTGTTTGTTCCCTGACAAAAATGGCTTCCCTGACTTTTAAAATATTGATGGTGGTCTTTTCTTATTATTTGTATTTTTATCTTTATATTATTATTATTTTATCCTTCCCATTTTATCTTTTTGCTTTATATTGTTTCTGTTAGGTCTTCTGATTTGTTAAGTAAAGAAGTAGAGGCATAAAGATAATAACTGATGCAAGGGCTTATAGGGGATATCAGGAATAAACTGAATGCATTTGGGAGGGAGCACTAAAACTGATTGATTACACAATTCATTTTAAAAGCAATTTAATCATGGGGGGGGGGGCAAAATGTTCTAAAATTGATTGTGGTAATGATTGTACAATTCCTGGTATGACTGAACTATTAAATTGTATAATGTGGATTATGTGCCAATAAAACTGTCAAAAAGAAGGGAAAAAAAGATTACAGTCTTAGAAACCCTGAAGGGCAGTTCGACTTTGTCCTGTAGGGTCACTGAGGCAGAACTGGTTTAACAAGAATGGGTGGTAGTATATCTAATTAAAGACTCGCATCCAGAAAACAGAAATTATTAAAATTAAAAACAAAAAGGAAACAAAAACAATAATGGACAAAAGATATGGTATGAAAAGGCAACTTAGCGGGGAAAACATGCAGTCATCAAGTAAACAAATGGATATGCCCACATTCAACACATTATGGAAATATAAATTAAGGCATTGTAGCAGTTAGTTTTTATTCCCACTTGAACCTGGGTGAAAGTGTAGGGGTGGAATCCAGTCTATCGGTGATACCTTCTTCGGGGTACGATCTTTTAGTAAGAGAGATAGTGAGAACTTGTCTCTCTGCCTCTCTGTCTTCCTCCTCACTGGGGGTCTCTCTGCCTTCAGGGAACTGCCATGCCATGTTCCCACCAACCTTAGATCCACTCAACTCCGTACCACCCCCTGGCCTGTGATCCCCCTGCCTGCATCCTACTTGACCTTTCTGAAGCATTGGCCAGCAGCTACATGCGTCTGAAGAGGGCTCTGGCTAGCATCAGACTATGGACTTGAGCTGCACTGGACTGGGGTGCCTTCTTGATACAGAATTACTTCTTGAGATAAAGCTCGTGTGTGTGTGTGTGTGTGTGTGTGTGTGTGTGTGTGTGTGTGTGTGTGTGTATTCATTCACTAGTTTTGTTTCTCTACACAACACAGGCTAACAGAGGCATAGACTAAATACTACACACCTATTAAAATGGTTTAAATCAAAGATTGGCAAAACCAGGTACCAGCACTGATAGAGAAAGGTAAATCGTCAATAAACTGATAATTGAAATGCATTAATTATTCTAATAATTTTATATTTTTAATTAATTAATATTTTTCTAATTTTTATAAATTTAAATATACTGACAATGTAACCCATCGTGACCTAAATACTAACCAGGTGAATTCAGTATTTATCTATCCACAACACCATGTACACGAAAGTTCACGGTAGCTTTGGTTATAATGTAAAATCTCATATGTCCAACAGTTAAATGAAAATTTAAAAGTCTGTGGTACATTCATGCAACGGAGTACTATTCAGCAATAAAAAGAAAGTACTGACATATGCACTTGCATTCTTTCTGTGACTTATTTAGGGATATCTTTCTATTTAATTCAATCAAGTTCATTCAATCACTTATATTTTTGATAGTCAGACAAACCTATCCCTCCCTGGGGGATGGACAACAGAAAAGTGGGTGAAGGGAGTAATCAGTCAGGATAAGACATGAAAAAAATAATAATTTATAAATTACCAGGGGTTAATGAGGGAGGGAGGCTCGGAGAGAAAAATGAGAACCTGATACCAAGGGCTCAAGTAGAAAGAAAATGTTTGGAAAATGATGATGGCATCAAATGTACAAATGTGCTTGACACAATGGATGGGTGGAAGGGTTGTGATAAGAGTTGTACGAGCCCCCGATAAAATTAAGAATTACGCAACTTTTGTATTCTACTGTTTGTAGGGCTTCATAAAATATACTTTAGTAACCGTGTTTTACTTTAGATAATTAAAATGACTTTATTTTTGCTGTAGGAATACTTATAACTACAACTTTCAGAATTCCTGAAATTGTTAGCTTTAACAATATTATATATTCAGTACTGATTCCTACAAATAACATTATATATTCAATACTGACTCCTGCTTCCTTTCTATTTTCACCTCCTCCAATCATAATTTGTGTTGACTATGTGTTAATCTGGATTACTGGATTATAAAATATACTATCCCAGGGTTCCTTTTGTCAAGTGTTTAGAAACTCACCCAGGTAGCTCTGATTTGTCAATTCTTCCTTTAAGGACCATGGCTCTTCTCCCTGTTCCAACTTAAGGATCACCTCTGGTTTGGCAGTACAATACCCTGTAAATGGGGGGAAATTGACTTCAGAAGGCAGAAAATTGACTCTAGGAATGTCAAAGGAAGCGGTAAATTATATGTTGGACTTTTTCACAGGTAGATGACAACAAAAATGTTGTATCTGTGGCTCAAAATGGCTCAGCATCTTAGACTCTTAGATCAAAAGACTGACACTGACATCTCTGAATAATTCACCTGTTTTGATCATTTAAAGGGAAAGTAAATAAAATGCATTCTACAGGAAGTACCATAGAAGGTCGGCTCACCCACTGAAAGGAGGTGGCTGTAATTCTCCAGCATCACATCTCTATAGAGGGTCCTCTGGGCAGGGCCCATGTGCTGCCACTCCTCCTGGGTGAGCTCCACAGCCACGTCCTCGAAGGACACTGATGCCTGTAACATAATTATAGTCAAGAGCAAGAGTTCAGAAACAAGTGTCAAGGAAAACGCCATTTTAAGCCTAATTATCAAATTCACTCTTCAAACAAATAGCTACAAAAGATAACTCTTTTGGGCTGAATTTGATATTATATTTTATAATTACTCAATTAGATAAAAAGGTTTAGCACAGCTCACCTATGACCTGTCACCCCTGGAAACCAAGGTCTGCATGTTGACCTTGGATGCACTTGACTCTGCCGATGCTGCTCTGTGGTTGTCCCTCCTCCCGCTTCCTGGTGTGTCCACCTGGTAGCTGCATGAGTCAGTGTAGCATCCGACCCACGAACTCAACCAGGCCTGGGCTGGCGCACCCTGCAGCTGTGTGGGCCCTTCTCCAAATAAATTACTTTTTTAATATAAATTGCTTTCTTATACATGTTTAAGTGTCACTGGCTTTGTTCACTAGAAAACCTAGCCTAACACAGGGCATAACAATTATGAGGACGATGTAGGGCTGGCAGGCCTGGGCAGTTTCATTCTGTGGCACAAAGGTTCACTATTAGGCAATGGCATCTAAAAGCATCATTCATTTCACAATGTCTACCTTTAACATTTCTGTGTGACTACCTTCCTGGCTACCAGGCAACTCAGAAATAATCTTGTGACTCTACATCAAACCACATGCCGTTATTTGATATGATATTCATTTGTTCTTTTCTATTTTGCCTGTTTACTTGTGTTTAATTGACTACACAAATGTATTTTGAGTACATGGATCAAAATAAACCATGAATAGCCTTAAGAAGAACACAATTCCAGAACACTTGTGTGCATGTGCAACTTGTACATGGAGAAAGAGAAGGTTGTGTGAATAGAACAAGGGAATTCTACATGGCTTAAAATCAGAAAAGGTATACATCAGAGTTGTATCCTCTCATTATACTTATTCAATCTGCATCTGGAGCAAATCATCAGAGAAGTTAGATTATATGAAGAATGAGGCATCGAGATTGGAGAAAGAATTAACAACCTGCAATATGCAGATGATACAACCTTGCTAGTTGAAAGTGAGGAGGACTTGAAGCACTTGTTGATGAAGATCAAGGATTGAAGCCTTCGGTGTGGATTAAAACACAATGTAAAGGGGGAAAAAATAAATGGAGAAAATATTGACGAATCAGTGCTCATGCAAGTAGCAGTCAGGCGTTCAAAAGACGCGCTACACTAGGTGAATTTGCTGCCCAATACTTCTTTGAAGTGTTGAAAATCAAGGATGTCACTTTGAAGACTAAGGTACACCTGACCCAAGTCATGGTATTTTCAATTGCTTCATATGCATGTAAAGAATTGATGCATTTGAGTTGTGGTGTTGGTGAAGAATACTGAAAATATGATGGACTGTCAATATAGTAACCCAGTCTGTCTTGGAGAGTGTACAGTCAGAATGTTCCTTAGTGTTAACGATGGTGAAACGTCATCTCATGTACTTTGAATAGGTTGTCAGGAAAGACCAGTCCCAGGTGAAGAACATGAAACTGGGTAAAGTGGAGGGCATCAGAAGACAGAGGAAGGCTCTTAATGAAATGGACTGTCACAGTGGCTGCAACAATGGATTTAAGCATAAGAACAATTGTGCGAATGGCACAGGACCGGACACCGTTTCATTTGTTGTACACAGGGTTGGAAGTGACAAGATGGCACCTAACAAGGACATCTTGTCAGAAGACTCTGATCCATTTCTAGTTCATTTTACTGTGTTAATGCATGGACCCCTTAAACTCCTTTGAAGACTACTATAAAGGAAAGTTATGACATTAACTCACCCAAGATTTGCTCATTTTCTGCTGCTCTTGAGATACTGTACAGGACTATGAAGGTTCAGCTGGGGAGAAGGAAAAGAAAATGTTGCTGTCAGAGAAACTCAGTTAACTCCTATAACAATTTGCCTAAAAATTTCACCACACCAGATGGAGGAAAGGATTCCCCGTGTAAAAATGTCCCTTTGACCCTTGAGGAGGGGCAGAAAATACAGCAGTTTTATTATGACCTTGTAGATTTGTCCTTGCATTCTTACTGGGTTTAGGAATTTCTTATTAGTTTATTAATAATTTGTACCTTTCTTGCTAATTAACAAAGAATTATACAAAAACAAGTCAATTGGTTAAAAAAAAATAAGATTTTAACTGAGAAAGGGTGATTATGAGGATCAAATGAGGTAACAATTAGAACCCTAAGCCCCCTGCCATCAGTACACTCCAACTCAGAGCTACTCTTTAGGACAGACAACTGTTCTGTCTGGGATTCGCCCATAAATCTCTACAAGAGCAGCCAGCCGCATCTTTCACCACTTGAATGACTGGTGAGTTTGAGCCACTGACCTTGTGCTTAGCATAAGGTGACCAGATTTAAAGTGGGACACCATTGACCGGTGGGGGGGAGGGGGGGTTCATGATTAAAAATGTCTATATGGACCAAATAGACCGTTCCCTAGCTTGTCATGCATTCTTTCCCAAAAGCGGGACGTCTGGTCACCTTAGCAGCCCAACAGGTAGTTTTTATACCAAAAACTCACTGCCAATGAGTCAATCCCAACTCATAGCAACCCTGTATATAGGATTTCTAAGACTGCAAATCTCTTCAGAAGCAGATAGCCTCAACTTTCTCCTGAGGAATGGCTGGTGGGTTTGAACTACTGACCTTAGCAGTTAGCAGTCCAAACCTTGCCCAATAGCCCCACTAGGGTTCTTCCCTAATTGTGATACTCCACCTTGAACTTAATTCTATAGTCACCCTACATGAAAGGGTAAAACTGCAAGACTATAATTTTTTCTGGAAGCAGAAAGCTTAGTCTTCTGAGGAGCAGCGGGTGGTTTCAAACGGCTGACCTTGTGTTCAGCAGTCCTGTATTTTAACCTCTATTCACCAGGGCTCCTAATCCAAATCAAACCCATTGACATGGACTCCATGCCAACATACAGTGACTCTTTATGACCAAGACTAACTCTTTACAGTAGTAGAAAGCCCCGTCTTTCTCCCAGAGCCATTGATGACAGCTGATATTGCAGCTTGCAGTCCAATGGGGAACCAGGGCTCCTAATAGCAGGTTTAAAATATATAGTGCATTTGACAGTCATGCTATAATTAGCAGGTACTTGGTAAAGTATCTTAGAGGTAACATCTTAACCCAAACTAAACCCGAAACCCACTGTGGCCAAGTGGATCCTGACTTACAGGACAGAGTAGAAGTACTCTGTATGGGTTTTGAGGCTACAAATCTTTATGGGAGCAGAGGGCTTCGAATTTCTGCAGGGGCATGGAGAATCACCAACCTTTCTAGAGATGGAATCCTATCCTGTCAGCAAATTCATGCTATCCAAAAAGGCTATCAGTCTAGTTCCTATTAATAGTATGTAGACAATAGGCCTTCAGTTAGACACGTGTTTCCCAAATAAGGCCAAATAAGTTTAGGAACCCATGAGTTAGATCACAAATAAGTTCCAAAATTTATTTAGCCTACTGCTCCCAAATCAGGAAAAAAATTAATCAGCGCCCACTTGCAGTTAAAAACTATCCTATAGTCCATAATCCAGGATCAAGTGTAGGTAACTGCTTTTGCAGCCCTTCTCCCACCAGATCATTCCAGTGCCCTTTAAGGGGCCAATACCCCTGACTTTGGGAAACACTGAGTTAAACCAAACACAGTAATACCTTAAAAAACAAACAAACCACTAAGGCATGGTTTTTGACACAGAAGCTATTTTAAAGTTGTTATCCTAAATTGCTACAGCTTTACCAGACGTTGTGATAACATGCCCCTGGCACCTGAGCTGTGACAGAGTCCACAGCACTGGGTTTTCCTTGTTCTTGGTTTTGACCCTCCAGAAAAGTCATTAATTTCAGGCTTAATTTTAGAGGGCTGGCAAGTCAGCGCAAGATCTCTTACAGTACTATCATGTTGTGATTGTAAATGTTCAGACTACAGGGAGTCTCAGACTATCTCGAGATGGCACATGTGGAGACAGGCATAGTATGATAGCACTTCAGATCAAGAAAAAGAAAAGATGAGAGACAGTTTTTATCGGATCTGGTTGGTTATGCTTTTGCTGGACACCAGGTCTTCAACCCACGTGTGCCTTTTTGTGTGCTGTTTCTACTGTTGCTAGTAAAAAATAATAATAAAGTGGGCTACTAGCAGCCAGGTCGGCAGTTTGAACCCACTAGTCCCTCAGAGGGGCAAAGGTGAGCCTGTCTGCGCCTGTAAAGCCCAGAGAGGTAGCTCTACAGAGTGGCTCTCAGTCGGCATCTCCTCCTCGGCCACGAGTCTGGTTTCCGCTGAGGCGCTCTACTGGATAGCACGACACAAAAATGACCCGGGCAGTGCAGTGGAGGTCTGCTCCAAGGCCGAGGCACCAGAAATCCAGGGTATCCTGGCACGTGGTGAGGTGCTGCCTGTATTTACATCGCTGGGGACTTGGGCAGAGATCTTAAGAGCAAGAAATCAGGAGCAGTTACCTGCATTTGCAACTTATCTCAGATCTGTGACATTTGGTCTGTTTTCACCCTTCTAAGCCTTTCTGAATGGTTTATTTACACGGAGAAAGAGGATGGTTATCGAGATCATTTGAGACAACAGAGGACTAGAAAAAACGGGAACTAGGTTATAAATGCACTCGCCAAGATGCTATAGTTACCTTACAAGTGGTAACTTATTCTCACGGTCATACCACGAACCATTATTATCACCATTTTCAGACGGCTCCTGCCTCGTACCTAGGTGGCTTCCCTCGGCGCTGGTGACCGGTGACTGAGCTTTAGGGCTTGCGAACGCGGCACTTCCCGCTCCTGCCTCCGGGGGCACCAGCTACACCTTCCTGGGAAAACCCGGAGCCGGACGACGAGGCGGCACGCTCACCATCCCCGTGGCTTCAGCCGGAAGCTGCGAGAACATCCTCCCACTGCTATCGAGTCAAGGCTGACTCATAGCGCCCCCTGTGGGTTTCCGAGACTGTCACTGTTTACGGGAGTAGACCGACCGGCGTCTCGCACGCGCAGAGCGGCTGATGGTCTTGAACTCAGGACCACGGGGATCGTAGCCAAAGGCTAGCCACTGCACCAGAGATCCGTCTTACCCAGGCGGAAATAAAGAGGCGGGGCAGGCGGGACACATGCGCAGTGGACCCCGGAAGACCCTTCCCAGCGTGCAATAGGATTCCAGTGGAATTTCGACTACACTTCCCGTGAGCCTTCGCGTTCATGTGACGTCATGTTTGCTTTCAAATGTGTTTCCGCTTCCTTTGGGACCTAGGTGCTGTGCGGGCGCCTTTAACTATAGGTTCTATAACAAAAGCCGAATAATGTTCAAGATGCTGTTTCAAAGAAAATGCTATACCTTCCAGCAGACGTGCGCTTTATAAATAAAAATAGGGAAATGTACTTGCAAGACAATCAGTTCCTTCACGAGGAAAAGCTGGCACCAAACAAATCACCTACTCTGGAACCCACCTCCCCGGAACCTGCCTTAGAATTAAATACTGCTGGGGATTTGCTAATAAAGTCAGCACTCATCACAGGATATTCTCTGCAGAATTTAAACTCTCAAATTTTAAAAACGTTATGGCACAGATAGGATCTGTTTTGGAGATAGTGCCCCAGAAAAGGTGTTCTCAGTAACTGGTTTGTAAGTGGTCAGTGAGACCATCCCCACTCCCGGCCAGGATGCCGCCGTTGCCCAGAAGTGCGCCCGCCGTAGGGGGAAATGATCCGTTATCATAGCGAGGCAAACAAATGGACTGCGACACATGCAGCAAAGAGAAAAGAAGTGGGAAAGGAGCAGACAAAACCCCACTGATAGCCATCCGATTCCGACCGCAAGTGTTAGGTTTCCAGGATGGTTTACCTTGGTTCTCAACGCTGAAAGAATTCACGCGGCAGAAGCAGCACTTTTTAAATCCAAGTAACTCTTAAACGGGAACGGGGCGTGTCCGGGATTACAGTCTCAGCAAGTACTCGCGACTTCTGGAAAACGTGAAAGGCCACCCGTTCGAGACTGCGGAAACCCACGTGCAAGGAGACGCCAAGAAAGCGACTACCCTTGGGCCCTGCCTTTTTATCTCCGCAATTACTTGAGGGGGCGTGGCTGAGGGTATTGCCACTCCCTCTGGCTAAATTCTGGCGCACCTGTGACTTTGACCTGTGAAGACTGACCTTAGTCTGCCATGATCAGCTCTGGATTTCCCACAGGTGTCTAATGTGTGCCTAATTTCTCTGACACCCCTTTTGTGTACCATGGTCAACTAATTTTCGTTTAGGGAGGCATTTGGTGGAGAAATGCCCCTTTATGCCTAATCTAGCTACCTGTCAAATCTAAGAACAATTCTATCTTATGACATGGCCCTGCTCAATGTTGTCCCAATTACTGAAGATATGGGTGCGATAGCAAAGTCTGGTGAGGAAGCCAGATGGTTCCCAGCTATCAGAAAATCCAGCATCTGGGATCTTAAAGGCTTGTCTTAAAACAAGGAATCTTCTAAGTGTAGTGTCAACGGAGTCCACATTAAAGATGCATACCACTCTGTGCTTTATTATTTACAATCTGTCCACAGATTATCGCGGCACAATTGTGCCTACCAGACCTGTGATGATTTGTTGGGGACCCTCCTCTCCCCACATATGTTGGTGCAGTAATTAGATGATTTTATGTCAATGAGAAGATGTATAAAAGTGTAGGGCTGGAACCCAACCCGTCAATCAGGTCACAGATTGATGATGCCATGTTGGGGGTGTGGTCTTCCTAAAAGTGGGTTAAACTGGAATCCTCCCCCCTCTCTCTCTGCCCCTTTGCCTTCCCATTTTCTGGGACTCTGGAGACAATCCTGAGAGCTG